CACGCTTACAGGTGCTGTGCTGGTAGCAACTCAGTATGAGCCAAGACACACTGTTTCTCACTGAGGCAGGAAGCTACAAGTTATCAGCAATATAGCCACCTCTTTGTGAAGCAGAGACTTTCATTGAATTCAGAACTCCACGGGAACCAAGACGCTGTGGTTCCTACCTACTAGCTTGGCTGGGCAATGTTCAGAGTCTCTGTACTACAAATTACTAATTCCCAGTTTATGCTAATCTGCTTGTACTCACCCTAAAACCTCTTAGTAGTGTCCCCAGTCAGGCAGCACATCTTAGCTGAGGTAGAACAATAGCTGTGTTTTGCATCCATGTTGTGCACTAACTTGCAGGAGGGCAGGCCTGGTTCCACCGTGCCACCCTGTGAGCTGCAGCCCAGGCGTGCTCTAGAGCAAGCCACATACGCTGTAACGTCAGCGAGGGTATTAGCGCAGGCTTGAGGCTTACTTCGCTATCCTTACAGACAGATCCTAAGCCTCCTAAAGCAGGGCTTAGATGGCAGTTTAGACAGAGATCAGCAGTATTTAGTTCCTCAGAACTGCTACACAGCTGCTACTTCACACCAAAGACGCTTTTGCTTCTGTGTGCAAAAGACCTCCGGGCCCCCCGAGTTTGGCCTGGGCAGAAATCGACAATTATATCCCAACGAAGACAAAAGCCCCCTCGTGACGCAGGCCGCGGGTCCGCCCCTGACTGACCGCCGCAGGGAGCGCGACCGAGCAAAGCGGGGCGCTTCTCCCTGAGGCAGAAGGCCGCTCCCTCCTCCCCGACCGCCGCGGCCCGGGGTCACTGGCCGTGCCCCCGTTCCAGGGGCAGCCCCACTCGGTCTCCCCGCGGGGCAGCGCGGGCGGGGAGGCGCAGCGCGGCGGCCTCTCCCCTTAACGTTTCGCTGGGAGCACCGGTGCGCGGCTCGGTCGCCTCAGGCCCCGCAGGGGCGCCCTCCCGCCCTTCCCCCCTCGCGGGGTCACGTGCGCCAGCTCGACCAATCAACAGCGACGCCCCCGCGGGGTCTCGCGGGAGCGGCGGGAGGTATTTAAGGCCCCGGGAGGCGCCGCCCTCCCTCTTTCCCCAGCGCCCGCCGCCGCGGTAAGGCGGCCGCAGCCGCTCCCACGGGGACCCCCGGGCTCCCAACGGGCGGGGTGCGGGGGGACGAAGTGGGACCTGCTCGGGTCTTCCCTTCACATCTTGCCCTCTCGGAGCCTGGCGGTGCTCCGGGGAGTCAACACAGGGGGATAGAGCGCCTTTCCCTCACAGAAACCCAGTGCGGAGCCGTCCCCTCCGCCCTGCATCCTGTCGTGAGGCACAAGCGGTTCCCCCTCCCTTCCTCCCCGTTCCCCGCCCTGCTGCTCCGGGCTGACTTCTTTCTCTCTCTCTCTCCCTCCGCAGTGTGTGGGGTGGGCCGCCCGGCGGGGAGGAAGGCGGCAGAAAGCGTCCCAAGGTACCGGCAAGGCCTTCCAATGCCCCCGAAAGCTTTGTCCGCTGGCCTGCCGCGCTCGGCTGCGCCCGGCGTGGGCAGGAGGCCCAGGACAGTAGGCCTGGCCAGTGGGAAGCGCTGGGGATCTGGAGTCGTGCCTTCGAACTGCTATAGGTAAGGGGGCACGCCGACCTCATCGCACACCTCACAGCCTGGGGCTGGTTAGCTAGGGCTTTGGGCTTCAGAAATGGAGAGCTTTGGATCCTCAGACTTTGTACCACTTAAAGACGAACGTATATCTGAGGGTACTGGTCTGTGTCACTGTGAGACGAAGGAGTATTTGTGTTCATTGGTACCCTTCTGCTCTTCTCTAAATTATAGGTGTTGAGCTGCGCAGACCTTAAATCTGATTTCAGTGCAGCGGTTTCTTTTTATAGGCTGCATCAAGAAAATTGCAGTTATAACCTGCAGCGTTTAGGGTACTGAAGGCTGCAGGCACCTAAGTTCAAATGGACTTAATGTTTCAAACGAAGAACAGTCACTCATTACATAGGCTTTTGGCCTCATCTTGTATGTCTGTAACAGTGACTTGATGTCTCTCTTGGTTGAGAGTGTATAATTTGTTACAAGGTATATTTAATTAGGCACAAGGTAGCAAAGAACTGGCTGGTAAAGTCTGTTAAATCTAGAATTTACAGCTTACTTCAGGGTAGTGTCAACACTAAAAGCAATTTAGGCTTAATAAACTTTCCATTGTTTCTGATTAGCAGTATATTTTAAAAGATGTTAAAAATATGTTCTGTGTAGTTTAAACAGGCTAATTAAAACAATCTTTTCAACAGATTGAACCACTGACTACCTTTTGCTCTAGGTCTTGATTTGATAGTCTTGATATGTAAATGACTTCTGCAACTTTGTAGACTGACTTTAAGAAGGTCTAATTCAATGTAATAGCAAGTCTGTAGAATATGGCTTTAAAAAGGTCTGTAATTAGATGATATAAATTATATTATAATTTAATACTTTTTGTCTCTTTTTTTTGGCCTGTTTAGAGGTCCCACATAGCAACTTTATGTTTGAAATATTCTAGACATGGATGATCACGCCTAAATTAGAAGCACTGCTCAGGACTTCTTAAGAATGAACAGAACCATCTGCTAGAAGGTAAGTATGCTCTAGTCTAATGACAATTGTAGATAGTTTTTAAAACTTGCTTTTTGATAATTCACAGATTTCATGCAAATTGTAATCTCTTGAGTAAATGGTAAATTCAGATTATCTTAGTTAATAAGAAAAAAATAGTGCTATAATCTACTCCCCTTTTATGCTTTGCCCTCTTAAGTCTGGCAGTGTCTTAAGTGGCCAACACAGAGGGGTATAAAAGTTCTCTCTCAAACCCAGAGGTGAGGTTGAAACTCTTCTTTGGATCATGGTGAGAGGAACAACACATTCATGAAACTACTGAACTTCAGGAAGCTACTAAATCAACTTTATTAATAGCTTGTAGGTAGGTTTTGAACTGTCATCTGATTATCATGTTATCTGCGTCTTGGTATCAGTTTCATGTAAATCTTACTTTTTTGGGTTTCTCAGGTGTGTTGGTGCTCTATGAACCTGTGATAAACGTGTGAAAAGAGTTCCTTGTAAACTGGTTGGTCTCCAGGTATGTAGTTTAAAAAGGATTATCAGATGTTAGTTGGATGGATTGCCTTCTATATCTAAAGAAGTTTAATTTATTCCTTACCTGAAAACAAACAAACAAAAACCAAAATTAGTTTGGACTAGTGGAAACCTGCACGGTAATTGTTAGAACTTTATATAGACATAGCCAACCTAAATTGGAAAAAATCTTAGGAAGCTTATGATAGTTATTGGGTCCATTTATTCTAATCTGGCTGGTCCTCTGGAATGGAATCCATACTAATGGTCTGGGAAAGGAAAATCCTGTCCTGGATAAATGAAGAAATTTGTATTGAGAAATGGCTCTGACTTAAGATTTAGTGTCATGTAGTATGTTCATATAGCTCAACCTTAGGCCAGTTACCTTTTTTGTATGTGCGATGCTGACTGCAAATTAAATAAAACTTCTTTTGCAGGGAAGAAACAAGCATGTGCAAGGGATTTGAACAGATATTAAACATCAGCTTATGGTTTCATGAGTGGCTGATTTCTGAATTCATACTAGATGACTCCAGTTGTCACCTGTAATGTATTGTCTTGAAAGTGGAATTGAGACAAGCAATGGCTAAAGCTACACGTTTTCAATGATCATGTTTAATCAGGAATCTTGTCATTTGTTAAAACAGGTTTCTTAACAAAAACTGCTGTAATTTATTTCTGTGTCTTTGTGGATTAATTGAAATAAAATATGAGAACGCTACCAGAAGTTTGTGTGTTCTGAAGGTTTCTTGTTTAGGTATGTCCTGTATGAAGGCTTTGTTTCACGGATGTGAACGCTTTTGTGTTGTCATGCAGAAACATTCTCTTGCCCGGTGCAAACTTGATAAGTTTAATCTTTAACTCACAAATCCATTGAAAATGACCCTCTTAATCTTTTATTCTGAATGTCTGGTCATGGGTTTTTGGGATGTATTTTAGAATGCAAAAGCACTTTGAGATCAACTGGCCAACTACTAAGTTATTTCATTAGGCTGTATGTGTTTGCATGTTCTCAAACTAGTCAAAAGATGTCTCAAACTTTAAAGACCAAGAATCCCATTACCTGCCTATTTCAAATAAAAAGGAAAATGTTGCAATATTCCATGTAAAGAACAACTAGTGTGAAGATCCTTGAAGAGTGGTATCGATATTTTTGAGCAATTGAAAGCTTGTATGTGCTTTTCAGTTGCTTATGTCTAAGTAAATATTAATAACTTATTCCTCAATGGTAGGTCTTAACATGAGGTTGATTTATGTGTATCCTATTACTAGCCAATGCTTCCTTAGAATGCACAAGCAAGAATATAAAATACAGTTAGAAGTAGCTGCCAGGCACTCCCCACTGTCTGCACAGGAAAGTGAGTTAGTGCAGCTTTAGGACCAAACTCTTTTACATACTTGGTCAGATTTAATGCGCATCTAGCCAAGAAGTGTTTCTGGTGATTATCTTTGCTTAAACATATGCTAAACAGGGTGAGTATTTAGTGATATATTACATTTGTAGCTTGCTAGGCTTACCTAAGTGTTTATTGTCCTCTGGATTGTGTTTTAATAAAAGATGAAACTAAATTTGAAGTATACAAAAGTACTTTATCTTCTTCATATTAAACCTGACAACTGTCTAGTTCCTGTTATGAGAAACAATGAATCATTTTCCTACAAGCCTTGTCAGTCATTTTATAGACCTCTGTACTCTGCAGTCTTGCTGAAGGATTAAGCTTTAGTCTATTCAGACTTGCCTTATGTGAGTGTGGTTTCATATGTGATCTATGCTGCCCTGTGCAGGTTTTCTAAATCTTGCTTTTCTTAGGTTCAACACTAATTGATGGTATTCGGCATAGGTAGATTTCTAAATGTTCTCTCCTGTTTTCCTTGACTAGTAAGCTTGTTTACTTTTGATAGCTTGGGATGATGTTTTCAGTGAGCCGTCTACACTTCCAGAACTTTTCAGAAGGTGAGTAGAAGCTATTTTAGAATTAGGGTTGGACTCTTCCTTCCCAGATTCATTAGTCATGCAAGAAGTGGTGTTAAATTCTGTCTGCTGCTCTGTCCATGAGGATCTTGTCAGAATCAAGATTTCTGGGAGTCTGCAGCCATGATTAGCTTAGAATATTCTGCTTTTTTCACATTAATTGATGCTGAAAACAGCTTTGAAATCCTTTCGCTTCTGAAACTATTTGTTCCTCTCCTTTCTGAATTAATGGTCTAGGAGTACACTAAAGGTCCCTTCTCTTTCACAGTAGCTGTCATACCCTTGAAGGACATATCTGAAGACTTTTCTAAAATAGTGTTCCTTTGTGTCAGGCTCTGTGCTTAGGTGCTGACTCCTTCAGAGACTTGTTTGTTCAGTTTTTCTGAGGCATTACTACTCTTCAACTTCATGCTGTGCAGTTGGTGATAAAAAATACCATTAAATTCTAATGACTTGGTCCTTATTCACAAATTTGTTCTAAAATGTTTCAGGTAGGTCCTTGTTCATTCATCCCTGGGTTTTAAAACTTTGGGAAAGTAATCTTTATCACAGACAAATCATTCATTTGGCTTTTGTGATGTAGCCTTCGAATTCTCAAAGGCTCCTTTCATACTTGTTCATTTCTGGGGCTTGCTAATTCTTTTGCAGACTGCTTGCTCCTGATCAATTTGAAGATATTTTAATATTATTTTATCATATTGCTCCTTAAGCTTTTCTGCTGCTTCAGTATTGGACAGATTTAAACTGGGTTATTAATTTTTACTTTGTTTTGACATGACTTGTAGTTACTGGTTTAATACAAAATCAAAGTACAGTTTGTATTTTAAACTAAAGAAGTATCAAATTATTTCATATGTTTATAAGGCTTATGACTTTTTACATTTGACTATTTGTTATCACTCAGTTGGGGCCATTCTATGCTGAAGGCTCAATTTGAAAAAATACTGGTTGGAAAGATAAGTCACTTGAGAGTACTCTGTTCTATGACTTCTCATGAGTAGCTATAATAAGAAACCTCTTATCAATTAACTTTGACTTGTTGTATTCTATCGTCAGGCTTTTTGGAATTACATGACAGTTCAGGAATCATTCACCTAATTAATTTTATGATATGTTAAAGTAGTGAAGCAAAACAAAGGGATTAGTATCAGTCTAGGAGTACAAAGTAAGTCTAAATCTGATAACTTTATTGTTGTAAATTAGTTCATTCACCCTGACCACCACCCTGTGGGACTGTATGCTTGGGGCTGTGCAGCTCACTAAGAGAAAGCTGGTTTGTATGAATGCTATCCTCTAAATGAAGTTATAACATTGCAATTTTCCTTTTTATTACTCATTGGAAAAGTGAAGACTAATGGAAGAAAAATAGCCAGGTTTGTTGGAGAATAGTCAAGGGTTAACTAGTTGGCTTACGTCATCACAGATTTGTATTAACTAGCCTTGTTACAGGCTAAATGACATTAAGCTAAGTTCTGTCATTTTATAAATTTTTGTATGTATGGTTTGTACAACAGGGATTGTATGATTTTGGGGGAAACAAGGATGGAGGAAAGCTATAATATAGCTTTTAATCTGTACATATCTGTTTATTCTGGCTATTGATTGCAAATTCAGGAATGCTGCTTTGGCTTCTCATTGACTAAATCTGCAAGAATGTTAAATTTGTTCAGCAAGACTGAAGACTGTCAGAAGGGAGAATATTTTCATATCTATTCCGTGTTCTAGCAGTTGAAAAGCATGATATTTCCTCCTTCCTTTTAGTAAGTTGTTACAACTCTTGAGACTCTGATCAAAGGAAACGCAGATAAAAAAGCTGAAGAATGACATGTACTTTGGGAATAACGTGCTAAGCCCTGGACTGTTTTCTGTACACAGGGCTACATGCAACAACATTGTTATGTGTTCTGTGCAAGGGTCTGGCAAGACACAAAAATGCTCATTCTTCCTTTTTTTTTTTAATTGGAACAGTTGCTGGGGGACCACCTTGAAAGTCTGGTACTCCCCAAGAGTTTTAGTTCTGAGGAGCTTGGCAATATCAGAATTTGTGTGACTCCTACTTAGTAACACAGATTCGTGATCTCCAGGGTTTGTCCTGTGTTGTTTTTAAGAATCTAAAGTCTGGAGGCAGGTATCTTCTTAGGTACAAGTGCGTTCAGCCTATATTCTCACTCTGCTGCTATTTTGCTCTTTGCATGAACTCAAGAACCTTGGATACAACTAACATTATGGGAAGGCATGAGGAAAAATAAGGAAGATGTTGGCGACTAACCATCAACTCAAAAGAATAGCTAGGACAAGAAGTAGCCATTATTACTTGAGTATTGCCTCCAAGCTTCCCACTGAAGATCAATAAGTATGATTGATTAATGAAAGGCCACAAAAAGTCATAAACCTAACTCTAACATTGTCATGATTTTAATTCATAGGGTGAGAATATAGGCAGAATGCACTGTACCTAAGAAACAGTGAGTGTGTAACCCATATATTCTGGTTTGGATCAATGCAGGCAGACGCTTCTTACAAAACTAGTTTATGAGATGGAAGAATCCTCTTTTTATGGTCATTAGATATCAGATCTATATAGAACACATTTTCTTAAAACTTCCTACATTTGGTTTCAGGTGCAACTTGCATTGGATTTTTCCACACATCAATACTTTTGCTTATCTAAATAAAGGTGAAAGCTGTGTGACCTTCACTGACATTCATTGCTGCAAAGGGGGGCCTTTTCTGCTCAGTGGACTTTGATGTAAAGATCTGAGAATAAAATCATGAGCAGGAATAATTGGAAATAGGCAGAGGCCTAGGAAGAGTAGTGTGCACAAAACCAGGGGATGAAAAAGATGCTGGGAGTTCCTGCTTTTTAGCACTGTGTGGGTTTGGAGACAATAGGCTATGCAGATCTCCAGTTTGTTTAATGTGGTAGAAGATGAGGTCATTTTATTTCTTTCTCAGTGGCATATTGCACACCAAAACAGAGGTGGTATGTGGCCTATGATTCAGAGTGTTTTTCAGACTTTGTCCTGGTAAGTGAAGGGATTACATGAAGTTAATTTGTAATATTGAATTTGGCTTAGATTTCAGTAGTGCTCCTGCCATTAAGTCTTATTACAGATGGTGTAGGAAGATGAAATCCTAGCTTCTGTTTGGCTATATCATGATCTGTGCCTTAAAAATAGAAAATTATCTTATGCAGTTTGGAAAGTGAAGGAAAATCAATAGCAGCTCTACAGAAAAAAATCTGCGAGCTACTTGAAAAGATTGCTAACTAATGTTCTCAGGATTTTAGTAATGGATCCTATTAGGTTCATCACTTCATTTATATTTTTTTTCCCTCTGAAGTGTAAACATAAAATACATGCAACATACATTATTGGTAAAGTAACCAGAAGGAAATAAAGCCAAGGAAAGCATGCAGGAGGATGCAATCTGTTTCCAGAAATAATGTATTCTCTCCCACATACCCTGACTCAAGATACTGATTTCAGGTCCAGTATGACACAAGCTTTTTAGAGTTGCTGGGATGCTATGACATACCATGATTTTTTTTTTTCCAGATACCCATGGGTTTCCTCAAAACCTCTCTTTTAGACCTTGCTGCTGCTGTTTCAATTTGCAGATAGGTTATGGCCTCTCTGTCTTCTGTTGTGTGGTGTAAAAGGGGAAAAAAAAAAAAAAAGAAGGAATAAGATAAAAAGAAATAAGTAGAAAGTAATTTAAAACCAAAAAGAATAAAAAAATCTCTTCTGCTGGTTTACATGAAATCTGGGATTTTCATCCAGACATACTCCTGCTATCAAGAAAAGCTGGAACGAGAAAAAAAGGTATAATGAACTCATGTATGTGCAATAAAAATGTTTTAATTCTATGATGTGTTTTTGTAGTAACAGTAATGTGAAAATTATTAAAAAGCAACCACAAGAACTATAAGATGACATTAAGTCCCTCCCAGATTCAAGCAATTGCTGCTTCCTATACTGCATAATGAGTACATTTGTTGGAACTGCACATCAACTGCAATCCTGTCAGCTGTCCACTATTCCTTGTTTGTGTGTCGTTGATGGCAGGGCATAAATCGTTTTTGACTTTATGCAAAAAGATGCTGCCAGGTCAGTATTTTCATATCATTTATTTGGAGAGAGAGCATCCCAGGTTTGGGTACCTTAACTGTAGGCCATTTCTTCTTCATAGTGTTGCAGATGTAATAGCAATGCAGTCTGATTCCCACACGTGTCACGTAAAGGCTGAGAAGTCTCACTGATCTGAGCTAGGTCCATCTGCCCTCTTGGTCTGAGCTGGGAAATGATGGTTCCAACTGCTGTGGCTCCTCTCCAGAGTTGTTTTACCATGTGTTAGTTAAAGGAAACTAATTATACAAATAAGTAACAGGGTGACTTTTTTTACTGCTACTGGGGTGCTGTAACTCTGATTTTCCTTCCAAACGTATGTTTTATCACTGTATCTGTTTTAATTCTTGGTAAGTATTTCATCTGTTCTTACCCGACTTGTTGCAAGACCTTGGACTGTGTCAGTTTACTGTGAATCAAAGCAGAAGGAACATGTCAAGATACTTCTATAGGTTGGTCCTATTAAGGTCTACACCAGGTTCCTCAGATTGCCATGTTCTTTCTAGGCTCCTCTGTGGTAGCCATGATTTTCGCTTCTCGTGGAGCTTCCTCCCTTCGACCAACTTATGGACACTCAATAGATTTATTATAGTATTCAAGTTATGTTGTTACCATTTCTCAGAAATACTAAACAAAAAACCATCTTAAACTGACAGAATATGGAGAAGCAACTGTTTCTAATAAATGCGATGGGATACATGTGTGTGATTTGAAAGAATTACAAAATTAGGCACATAAACACAAGTTTAAGATATGGGAAAATATTAACGCTGCCTTGTAGCTGTCTGTGTAACTCTGATTAATACTTACAATTACAGACAGTATTAAGCTGATATTTAAAAATCACAAAGATTT